GTGACTGAGTTTAACAAACAGAGAGAAAACTCTAAAATCAAAACAGAAACCCTGAAATCAGTACAAAGCAGACGGACGGGAAAACTGCGCAAAGTGTCAAGGTCAAAGATATTGTTGTGCTTGGAGATGGAGCCATTTCTAATATGAACATAAACAGAATAGCTACTTGCAAGAAAAAGGTCAAGTCAGGCGAGTGAAGGTCAACCGGATTCAACCCAAAGTCCAATGAGTATCAGTACCCCAACGGCCGAGAGCAATTCAAGGACCACATCTGAGAACCTGGGACAAAACCAGTCACAGCCCGCCATAGAGAAGAAGATCCATGGCCACAGACCCTAAGTGAAGTGGCCAAAGTTCAGCAGAAAGAATGAGTGGGCAACGATTAATGCACATGTGGGTGTGATCCTTGAGGGAGTCCGAGAATCTGAACCTGATCTACAGTGGATAAAAAAAGTCTACACACCCTTGTTCAAATGCCAGGTTTTCATGATGTAAAAAAATGACAGCAAGACAAATAATTTCGCAACTTTTTCCACCTTTAATGTGACTTATAACCTGTACAATGCAATTGAAAAACAAACTGAAACCTTTAAAGGGGAAAAAAATAAAATAAAAAACTTAAAAGAACCTGGTTGCATAAATATGCACACCCTTAAACTAGTACTTTGTTGCAGCATCTTTGACTTTTATTACAGCACTCAGTCTTTTTGGGTAGGAGCCTATCAGCGTGGCACAGCGTGATGTGGCAATGTTTGCCCACTCTTCTTTGCAAAACCGCTCCAAATCTGACATATTGCGAGGGCATCTCCTGAGAACAGCCCTCTTCAGATCACCCCACAGACCTGAATCGATGGGATTCAGGTCTGGACTCTGGCTGGGTCATTCCAAAGCCTCAATCTTATTCCGGTGAAGCCATTCTTTGGTTGATTTAGATGTGTGCTTTGGGTCATTGTCATGCTGAAAGAGGAAGTTCCTATTCATCTTCAGCTTTCTAACAGAAGGTCGAAGGTTTTGTGCCAACACTGACTGATATTTGGAACTGTTCATAATTCCCTCCACCCTGACTAAGGCCCCAGTTCCAGCTGAAGAAAAACAGCCCCAAAGCATGATGCTGCCACCACCATGCTTCACTGTAGGTATGGTGTTCTTTTGGTGATGAGCAGTGTTGTTCTTGCGCCAAATATACATTTTGGAATTATGTCCAAAAAGTTCAACCTTGGTTTCATCAGACCATAACACATTTTCCCACATGCGTTTGGGAGATTTCAGATGTCTTTTTGCAAAATGAAGGATGTTTTTCTTTGTAAGATAAGGCTTCCATCTTGCCACCCTACCCCATAGCCCGGACAAATGAAGAAGACGGGAGATTATTGTCACAGGTACTACACAGCCAGTACTTGCCAGAAATTCCTACAGCTCCTTCAGTGTTGCTGTCGGCCTCTTGGCAGCCTCCCTGACCAGTTTTCTTCTTGTCTTATCATCAATTTTGGAAGGATGTCCTGTTCTTGGTAATGTCACTGTCTCACTGCCATATTTTCTCCACTTGATGATGACGGTCTTCACTGTGTTCCATGGTATATTTAATTCCTTGGAAATTCTTTTGTAGCCTTCACCTGACTGATATCTTTGAATAATGAGATCCCTCTGATGCTTTGGAAGCTCTCTGCGGACCATGGCTTGTGCTGGAAGATGTGGCTACAAAAATGTCAGGAAAAGCCTACTAGAACAGCTGAACTTTATTTGGGGTTGATCAGAGGCACTTTATTTGGTGACAGGTGTGTGCTGACTCCAGTTTAACATGAGTTTAATTGTAATTGGTTAAATCTGAACACAGCCACATCCCTAGTTATAAAAGGGTGTGCCCACTTATGCAACCACATTATCTCAGTTGTTTATTTTTACTTTACCTCCCTGAAAGGTTTCAGTTTGTTTTCCAATTGCGTTGTACGGGTTACAAGTCACATTAAAGGTGGAAAATGTTGGGAAATTATTTATCTTGATGTAATTTTTTTTACATGACAAAAACCTGGCATTTGAACAGGCGTGTGTAGACTTTTTATATCCACTATATATCTATGGGGCAGAAAGGTTCAGAACAAAAGAACAAAGGAAGGAAACACCAACCCGTCCCAAGTCCTTAAGACAACAGTAAATCATGCACCTTATATTGACCTCCTGCATGCAGAGCTGAAGGGTAGCCGGGGAAGACTGCGGAGAGCAGAAAATCTCTGAACTCGATGCAGGAAAAAAGAGAAGGCAAGAACACCCTTCTTTGAGGATTCTTTCAGGTTTGTGAAAGGCCTCTTTACAAGGGAAAAGAGCGGATCCTTAAAGGTGCCAAAGAGGGACCTGGAGCACCATCTGAAGGAGACACATCCAGACGAGCAAAGACTGGAACAAAGGAATATTCCATCAGACATGCTGCCAATTCCTCAGCCAGAACATCAGGTCGACGAAAGCCCCGCAAAGTTGTCTGAGATCGACAATGCAGTGAAGAAGGCAAGGGCAGCCTCTACACCAGGCACAAATGGAGTTCTTTACTGGTTATATAAGAACACTCCAAGAGTCTTGTGGTTTCTGTGGACACGAATGAGGATGACATGAAAGAAAAAAAATCATCTCAAAAGCATGATGAAGAGCAGGGAGAGTACTAATTCCCAAGGAGAAGGATGTCTCAAACATCGACCAATTTCGACAAATCAATCTTCTAAATGTTGAAGGCAAGATTTTCTTTAGCATCATTGCTCAATGAACGACGACTTACCTTGAACGGAACAACTTGATTGACATGTGGATACACAAAGCCGGGGCACCAGGTTTCTCAGGATGCCTTGACCACACAAGCATGATTTGGCATCAAATACAATCTGCAAAAGGGGAAGGAAGAGACCTGCATGTGTTGGCAAATACTTTTGGATTTGTCCACCATTCTGTCATCTGGGCAGTCTTCAATTTATTTCATGTGCCTGAAACCATTACAAACCTGGTCAGAAACTACTTCCAGGACTTGCAATTCTGCATAACAACCACGGAATAAACAATATTATGGAAATTATTGGAAGTGGGCATCATGGCAGGGTGCACCATATCCCCTCTAGCATTTACCATGGCAATGGAGGTGATCATCAGGGCGTCTAGATGGATAGTCGGTGGAGAGCGTCAGAAGGCTGGACAGTGGCTACCTCCAATTCGCACCTACATGGACGACATGACCACCTTGACCTCAACCATTGCCTATACCAAACGCCTATTGGAGAAGCTTCATTCCAACATTAGATGGGCAAGGAGGAAGATGAAACACAGCAAATCCAGGTGCATATCCATTATCAAAAGAAAACTTGCCGACCAGAGGTTTGGCATCAATGAAACACCCATTCCACATTCGGACTGCTGAAGCTTATAGGGAATCCAAATGTTTTGGATTGTTGGGTGTTTCTGTCTCTGCCTTTGTGAAGCGCTATGAGATGACTTGTTGTTGTACATATGCGCTATACAAATAAAATTTAATTGAATTGAATTGAATTGTATTGCAAAACCAGACTGTCCCAAGGCTGTTACACCTGGAGGCATAACCAAATCTTACGGCAACTGGCAATCATTCTGGAAGGAAGGCAAACCACCACAAATGCCCTCCGTCACCCAACATCCAAACACCCATCCACTACCCCCTTCGTGAGAGCAGGACAGGGCCCAGTTGAACCAGCAGCAAGAGAGGATAGCACCCTCTTTGATGTCGCATGGGACTGGAAAATGCAGGTTGATATTGATCAGAGACTTAAATTTCGACCTGAGATCTTAAACACCAATCTCAGGCCAGATCTTATTTTGTGGTCAATCTCAAAGAAATCCCTGTTAATCGTGGAGCTAACTGTACCGTGAGAGGCTACAGTGAGTGAAGCATATGAACGAAAAAGCTGAAGCACACCAATTTAGCTTTTGAGGCACAACAACAAGGCTAGCGGGCTAATTTCAGCAGTATCAGCCGTCAATAAATAACACAGAAGCGAAACCTCTCTAATCCTCAATACATCTATCTGAACTGCTAAGCGGGCTAATTTCAATGCAGCAGTATCAACCATCTTCTTTCCCCTTCTCCTCTCCTCCTTTCACCTTCTCCCCTCTTCCTTTCATCTCCTCCCCTCTTCCTTCACCTCCTCCCCTCTTCCTTTCCCCTTCTCCTTTCTTCCTTTCACCCCTCCCTTCTTCACCTTCTTTCCCCTACTCCCCTCTTCCCTCTTCCCACTCAAATCCAGGAAGTGCTAATTATTAGGGATATTAACAACAAGTCCTATGAGCTGAAACAAAATTGCAGCTATCCAAGTGCCACTGTCTCTGACATCACAAAACTACTACCTAAGGAGCTGATAACACACCAAGGGGTGAAACAGCTGATTGTGCACGCGGGTGCAGTGGACATCAGAAAGGAACAGTCTGAAATGTTAAAAGAAGACTTTAATAAACTATTTGAGAGTCTTGATAAAGTGGAAATACCGATGTTCATTAGTGGACCTCTCCCAAACATCGACAGGAGGATGATCAAGTTCAGTTGAATACATGGCTGTCCAACGTCTGTGAGTCCAGAGGACTGCATTTTATTGACAATTTCAATCTGTTCTGGCAATGTGACGATCTGTTCAAAGGAAAAGGCCCACACCTGAACAGAGGTGGAGTGAGAAGACTGACGGATAACCTCCTCTACACTCTGAGGCATCAGAATAAGCCTGGACAGGACCCTGTGCTAGCACCAGGAGTAGAGAGGAGCGAGAGAGAAGAGCTCCTGCCTCGCCACCTAAGGACCCACCAAAGGATTGAGCTAAAGCAGCACCTCTATCACCTCTGACCACCTCATGACCTCCCAGTGATACTGGGACGTCATATCTAACAGCCCCTCTGGGAGCGGAGCTCGCTGTGATTGGTCATTAGTTTTACTATTAAAGTCTCTTCACCCGAAAAGCATTCTCTCTCTTGCTCTTCCTGCACTCTCTCTCTAGGCATTCTCTCTTCTTGCACTCTTCTATAGCATTCTCTAGTGGCATGCTCTAACTGCCGTAGAGCTGCCCACTTTGGTCCAATGTAGCAACTTTAACTGCCACACCCTGATCTTCCCGCTCTGAAGCTGAAGGCCTCGTCTCTCCATCAGGCATCAGACGTTGCTGCACTCGCATCCAATCCAAGGACGCGGCAAGTATTGAGCTTTTTATCTCTAAACGGGTGTTTCATAATTACAATTGGCCTCTCAACCAATATTCCAAATTTAACAGATTATCTGCTACTTCGGGTGAAAAGACTTTTAAGTCTCCAAGCCATCACTCTGTTCCACATTAGGTTTTCACACTCATATTCTCAACCAGCATTTTCATCATTGTTTGTATTTTTATATTTTATGTTTGTTGTTGTTGTTATTTGTTTGTTTGTTTAGTTAGTAATAAATGTTGTGTGTGTGTATACAGTTGTTTCCTGTGTTTTCTATGGCTTACATCCAGTCACTTTACGTATGTGATCTTTAGTTACCTAAGCTCTAAGTTAATTTCCTTAACTTTACAAACACTCTTGGTGATCAGTCAAGAGTAAACAATTTATTAGAATTGTTGTGCTGACTCTGAAATTATATCGGTGGACGAATAATGTAAAGGTTGGTATTAATAATTTTAATTCACGCAATCATTTGCTTTAGTGTGAAAATAAGTTCATCTTATTTTCCACACTAAAACCCTACACATCTGAGACTTCCCAATCATCTTGAAAGCTTGGTGAAATCAGGGATTAAAATAGTTCCCCTCACTGCAGACATGGCAAGATCAAGGTTTCTTTCCCCCAAAAAGAAAAGAGCCCCTCTCCCTCCTCAGCCTACTTCCAGCATCCTGAAGCCCCCACCATGATGCCTCCTGTTACAAAAGGACAATAAATTCTAATAACTTGTTTAACTGTAAACTAAATTGTATAATTCATCCTACATCCACCCAACCGGTCGAGGCAGATGGCCGTCCCTTCCTGAGCCTGGTTCTGTCTGAGGTTTTTTTTCCTCTGTGGGGGTTTTTGGTTCCTTCCCACTGTTGCGGACTGCTGAAGCTTATAGGGAATCCTAATGTTTTGGATTGTTGGGTGTTTCTGTCTCTGCCTTTGTGAAGCGCTATGAGATGACTTGTTGTTGTAAATATGCGCTATACAAATAAAATTGAATTGAATTGAATTGAACTTCACCAACCAAAGCCCCCCCAGCTCGGCCCCAATCACCAGTGCCCGTAGCTGTTATCTCCAACAGCGTCACTGCTGCTATTTAGGATGCAAAGGGCCTGTGCGTTGCTATCATTCATAGTAAGCTCCATTTCAACTGGAGGTCCAGGGAAGGAAACAAGAACTAGTGTCAGATCACATAGATTAGATAAAAGAGGGCTAGTCAGACTGTCTGATCAGAGAAATCGAATCCATATCCCTTGCAAAAAGATTGCATCCAATCAAACTCAAGTAAATCTCAAACATGTACTCAGTGTCAGAGCTAAGTAACAAATTATTTTTAATAGATAGTTTTATCTCCTCCTGTAATCTTGATTTTATGTTTTCAACTGAGACGTGGCTCGACAAAAACACCAGTAATGCCAGTAACACCATCTCACTTCAATTTTGTGTCTGAAACGCAACAAAACCAGAGGGGTGGGGGTGTTTGTGCCATAGTCAGGGACAGGGGCGGATCTAGAGAAATACTAATGGGGTGGCAAAGGGGTGGCATATAGATTTTAGGGGGTGGCATACGTGTGTATATACATATATTATCTATGGACAATTTAGAATCACCAGCTAACCTCATTCAATAAAAAACACATTTTTTCTTCAAACCAAATTTTCAGACAGCATTTGTCATCAAATTGACACAAATACTGCTGAAATAAATGCTCCACAAGTAAATATCATTTGTATCTGTCTGGCAATTCTAAACACGAGTTGTTTATTAGCTGTTAATCACAAACCAAACTTCAGTGCAATAGTTGTAGGAGAAATGTTTCTTAAATTTAGCAACAAATCAGATTGAGACGAGACGTGTCTCTTTTATGCACTGTTTTGGGAAATAGTTATTTTTGTTATCTATGCTTATGTTGATCTGTCACAATGATTACATTATCAACGCATCTTCAACAGAGTCAGAGGCAAGATAACAGGCCATTTATATTATTGTTTTAGGTTTGTGGTTTGATGTTCTTCATTTGAGACATTTCTTACATTTTTTTTTACACTATGATTCCAATTTCTGGATATTCTTAAGAATTATGGGCCTGCTTATGATCTTAAAATTAAAAGATGAACGACAACAGATCATGTTTGGTCCAAAAAGGTAATTATTGTGACAGGTGTACTTCTTACTCAGACGTATAATAATAAAGTAATGTTAATACCATGTGGACCAGCTGGACAAGGGGAGCCCTCTGACAACATCTGTCCTCTCCTTTCCCTTTCACTGTCCGAGCTCTGCATGCTTTCAGTTCTTTCTCCTTCCTCTTCCTCCTCCATCTCCTCTCTCTGATGCTCTCCCTGCTCTTCCTCCTCCTCCACCGCCTCTCTCTGACAGTCTCCCTGTTCTTCCTCCTCTTCCTCGTTCATCTCCTCCCTCTGATGCTCTCCCTGCTCTTCCTCCTCCATCTCCTCTCTCTGACAGTTTCCCTGTTCTTCCTCCTCTTCCTCCTCCATCTCCTCTCTCTGATGCTCTCCCTGCTCTCTTATTTTAAGCTGGAGAAAGCTGGTGATGAAACCCTTCCTCTTCAATCTTTGTTGTCTCCTAGAAGATTCACACTGACTTTACTGTGTTTCCTTTGACAGTCTTCATTATCTTATCTTATGTGTACAATTTAAAACCTAAAGAGGTTCTTAACACTTAAACATGTTTTTTTTTAGCCATAAACTAAACTATATGACTGTACTATGATGAAACACATCAATGCTGGTGTTACTGTGACGTTGACACTAAATTTATTAAAAACAAAACCAAACCCAGCATTAAGCAAACACAAGGTCGTTTGCATGAAAACCTGGTGTGACTGGAGGTTTAGTTACACTTTAATGTCATGTAACCCCCTACCCCCATCCTACCCCCATCCTTCTGTAGCTGTTCTGTAATGCTAGCTAGCTACATACGTGACAATTGGAAAGACCCGGGCTCACTGGAACCGTGGCTCGTCTCACAAGCAAACACTGTATGTGAACTTAGACACTGTTAGCGTCTACTACATAGCTTACAGTTTTACTACTGTGTGGTCTAACCCAGTCTAACTGCTGTCTTACTTTCACGTCTTGCTGGCCGCGCCGAAGTCCGACTCTCGTCCACATAAGGGAGGCGGACTATGAGCAGCCTGATCGGAGGTCGGGTCGCCTCCTATGTGTCTGTAGTAGAACGTCCTCATGGTGCATTCACAAGCACTCGGACATCGGACTTTCGCTCGTTATTCGTCATATGCGGACTTTCGCTCTTTCCGGCCGGCCACATATTTTTGAATTACATCGTTCAGAACTGGGGTGGCAGCCGGGGTGGCAAGGCATCTTCTAGGGGCGGATCCACCCCGGTAGATCCGCCCCTAGTCAGGGACAATATGCTCACCCACAAATTGTCAGTTGGGTTTTTTTCATCATTTAAATATGTGACATTCAAAATGGAGTTAAAACAATCTTCTATACTCTATATCACCATTTACAAACCCGCACAGAATTGTCTTGTTGATGATTTTACAGAATTACTTTCAGTTGTGTGCACTGAGTTTGACTGTTTAGTCATTACCAGAGATTTTAATATTCATGTGGATGTTGCCAATGACAGGCACACAAAAGAATTTGATGCCATCCTTGAAGTGTTTGGTCTATGTGCAACGAGAGGTCATATCGTGCTGAATAAGGTTTACAGCAACATCAAGGACGCATATAAAGTCTCCCTCTTCAACCACCTCAGACAATCAGACCAATTGTCTCTGTTTCTCACCCCAGCATACAGACATCTCATACAAAGAACTTTGCCTGAGGTGAGACCCATATGGATTTGAATTGAATTTCCCTTCTGGGATGAATAAAGTATTTTTCATTTCATTTCATTTCATTTGGTCTGAAGATGCCATCCCACAGCTCCAGGAGTGCTTCCACACAACAAACTGGGACATCTTTGCACAGGAGGATCTAACGGACTATGCATCCACTGTTCTGTTTTACATTAAAAGGTGCATGGATAGTGTCTCAGTGGAGAAGATGGTCAGTCATTATCCTAATAGTGGGATGAACAGTGAGGTCAAACAGCTGCTGAGGGATCAGGTCTCTGCTTTCAGGTCTGGGAACATGGAACTGTACAGCTCAGTCTTCTCCAACCTGAAAAGGGGCATTAAGCGGGCAAAGGCAGCATATACAAAGAAGACTGCGTGGCACTTCACGGATGGGAACCCCTGATGTGTTTGGCAGAGCATCCGTGACCTCGTTAATATGAACAGTTCCAATGCTACCAGCACCAGCACAAGCCTAGCGGAGGAGCTAAATCAGTTCTTTGCTAGGTTTGAAGTAAGCAAGGAGGAGAATGCCCCCATGATGCTACCCGATGACAACCTGGCCCTCACTGTGAGCTCGGAGGAGGTGAGGAGGGTGCTTGAAGGCTGCTGGTCCCAATGGTGTCCAGGGGAGGGTACTGAGGGGCTGTGCAGACCAGCTGGCAGAGCTTTTTACTACAATTTTTAACCTCTCACTGGCTGCCTGCACAGTCCCTAGCTGCCTAAAATCTGCCACTATCATGCCCATCCCCAAGAGACAACCGGTCAGCAGTCTGAATGATTATAGACCTGTGGCTCTCACTTCAACTGTGATGAAGTGCTTTGAAAGACTGGTGCTGAAGCACATAAAATCCTTACTGCCTCCCAGCCTAGATCAGCACCAATTCAGAGAGTAAATACAGAGCCAACAGGTCCACAGGTGATGCCATCAACACAGCCCTCCACACAGTGTGTAAACATCTTGAACAATCTGGCAATTGCACGAGGATGCTGTTTGTGGACTTCAGTTTTGCTTTTAACACACTTGTTCCAAGCAGACTGATGTTCAAACTGCAGAGTCTGGGTATTGGTGAGCACACCTGCAGATGGATGAGAGACTTTTTCACCAACCATCTGCAGTCAGTCAGGTTGGGGCCCCACCACTCCTCAGTCCTGACAGTGAGCACTGGGCCCCCCTCAGGGCTGTGTGCTCGGCCCCATGCTGTACACCTTGTACACCCATGACTGTGCACCAACCCACAGCAGCAACATATTTTTTAAAATTTGCAGATGACACTACTGTGGTTGGGCTGATTCACAACAACGATGAGACGACCTACAGAGAGGAGGTCCTGAACCTCACTACCTGGTGCTTCCTCAATAATCTGGCACACAACTCCTCAAAGACAAAGGAGTTGGAGCTGGACTTCAGGCGGAAGAGGGAGGAGCCCCACCCCTTCTCATCCAAGGGGAAACCACAGAAAGAGTCAGTGACTTCAAGTTCCTGGGAACATACATTTCTCAGGACCTAACATGGGGCAGTAACACCAATGCCCTTGTGGAAAAGGCACAGCAGCGTCTGTACTTTTTAAGGTCACTGAGAAAGGTCAACCTGTCCCAGGAGCTGCTGCTGTCCTTCTATAGGTGTATATATATTTATACACATATAAAACTTATACTATACTATATTATAATTATTTATTTTGAATTGTTATATAAATTGTATTTTATTGTATAAATATTATATATTATTTATAATTATTCATTTATATTATTTATATTTCTCATATATCCACAGTGTTATTACCTCAACGGGGAAATTTTTTTTTTCTTTCTACTTTTTGGCTATTACCATGGTCATTTCTAACTGTATATACTTAGCACTGGCTCCTTTTGTAAATATATTTACATATTCTTCTTTGTCTTTTTTATACTTGTATTTTGCACCACTGGAGTTGTCTTTTAATTTCATTGTACTTTGTGTGTGATGACAATAAAAAGCTTTCTATTCTATTCTATTCTATTCTATTCTATTCTATTCTATTCTATTTTATGCTAGTGAGCCTACCCATAACAAAGGCACTCCAGACCTGGTCATTACAATAGGTGTTATTATTTCAAATGTGAATGTTGTTGATGTTGCTTTATCTGATCATTTTTGTGTTTTCTTTGACCTGTCTGTTACACCCAAACCACCAGTTGGGTCTGCAGTTACTAAGATAAGACACATAAATGACAAAACAAGTGCAGAGTTTATTGAAAGGATTAGATTTGAAAACATCCCATGTTCTAATGTTGATGATCTGTTGAACTCTAATATATCAAGTGTTTCAAATGTTTTGGACACCATTGCTCCTTTCAAGGTTAGAATGGTTAAACATAGGCAAAACGCGCCATGGAGAAATGAAGACTCGGTCAGGGCACAGAAAAGGGAGTGCATGAGAGCAGAATGGAAAGGGCGCAAGTCAAAACTCCAGGTTCGTTATGAGATATACAAAGTTATGTGTGTTCAACCAGACTTTGGGTAGAACAAGGGAGAGTTATTTTTCTGAAATCATCACAAACTGCAGCAACAACTCTCGTGTCCTATTTGCTACAGTAAATAGATTAACAAACCCACCAGCTTTGCTGCCCTCAGAACGAATTTCTACATCTAAGTGCAATGAGTTTGCAATATTCTTTAATGACAAAGTCCAAGGCATTAAAAATGCAAAAATTTCCACAACACAAATGGCAATCCTGCTCCCAGCTAGACACCTAGAGCTGACACATTTTACACCTGTCAATGACAAAACAGTCAAAGAGGCTATCTCTGACCCAGACTGGGAATCTCGTTGAGCGGTGGAAGGAGCACTTTGAGGAACTCCTTAACTCGGTAAAAATGTCCTCTGCTGAGGGGGCAGAGCGTGAAGACTCGGGGGTTTCTGCGTCCATATCTGTGGTAGAAGTCGCCGAAGTAGTTAAGAGGCTCCTCATTGGCAAAGGTGTGGACGAGATTCGCCCTGAGATGCTGAAGGCTCTGGACAATGTTGGACTGTCATGGCTGACACGTCTCTTCAATGTTGCATGGGCATCAGGTACAGCACCTGTGGAGTGGCAGACTGGGGTGGTGGTTCCCATTTTCAAAAAGGGGGACCGGAGAGTATGTGCCAATTATCGGGGTATCACACTTCTCAGCCTCCCTGGGAAAGTTTACTCTTGGGTGCTAGAAAGGCTAGAAAGGAGGCTCCGACAAATTGTCGAACCTCAGATTCAGGAGGAGCAATGCGGATTCCGTCCTGGTCATGGAACAGTGGACCAGCTCTTTACCCTTGCGGAGCTGCTGAGGGGGGCATGGGAAGTCTGCCAGTCCACATGTGCTTTGTGGATCTGGAGAAGGCCTATGACCGAGTTCCCTGAGTGACTCTGTGGAGGGTGCTGAGGGAGTATGGGTACCAGGCTTGTTGCTACGAGCCATACAATCCCTGTACAACCAAAGTGCGAGCTGCGTCCGCATTCTGGGCAATAAGTCGGACACGTTTCCAGTGGGTGTTGGACTCCGCCAGGGCTGCCCCTTGTCCCCGATCCTGTTCGTGGTTTTCATGGACAGGATCTCAATGCGCAGCCAGAGTGAGGATGGTGTCTGGTTTGGGGACCTCAGGATCGCATCCCTGCTTTTTGCAGACAACGTGGTACTGTTGGCTTCATCAGACCGTGACCTTCAGCATGCACTGGAAAGGTTTTCAGCCGAGTGCGGAACGGCGGAGATGTGGATCAGTGCCTCCAAGTCCGAGGCCATGGTTCTCTGCCGGAAATCAATGGATTGCCATCTCTGGGTGGGGCGGGAATTGCTTCCTCAAGCGAGGGAGTTTAAGTGTCTCGAAATCTTGTTCACCAGTGATGGGAAAATGGAGTGCAAGATGGACAGGCAGCTCGGTGCGGCGTCAGCAGTAATGCGGCCGCTGTACCGGACCGTCGTGGTGAAGAGAGAGCTGAGCTGCAAGGCGAAGCTCTCGATTTACCAGTCCATCTACGTCCCAATCCTCACCTATGGTCACGAGCTTTGGGTCATGACCGAAAGAATGAGCTCGCCGATACAAGTGACCAAAATGAGCTTCCTCTGCAAGATGGCTGAGCTCAGCCTTAGAGATAGGATGAGGAGTTCGGACATCAGGAGGGAGCTCGGAGTAGAGCCGCTGCTCCTTCGTGTCGAAAGGAGCCAGTTGAGGTGGTATGGACATCTGATTCAGATGCCTCTGGGGAGGCTTCCTCTGGAGGTCTTCCGAACACGTCGACCTGGGAGGAGACCCCGGGGCAGACCCAGAACCCGCTGAGGGGTTATGTCTCTCGGCTGGCCTGGGAACCCCTCGGGATCCCCCAGGCAGAGCTGGAAAGCGTCGCTGGGTCGAGGGAAGTCTGGAACGACCTGCTCCACCTCCTGCCTCCGCGACCTGACCCCAGATTAGCGGAAGATAACGGATGGATGCATGAATGGATTGATTTTATCTCCCACTTTGCTTTTAATGTAATTAATTAATAATTGTGTTTATGTTCTGTGGACTGATTTTATCAGTCTGCTTATACTTTTGTGTGATACAAATTGTGCTGTACAAATAAATCTGCCTTGCCTTGCCTT